GATATTTATCTCAACTGACTTTCGGGTCACTCTGTATAAACGTCCTTCAACATCTGTCGCATTTCGTTTCGTACCGTCCGATCATTCGATGTTCCTATACGGTGTAAGTAGTCTGATTTTCTGACCGCTGAAATGAACTGCAAATACATTAATAAATGAGATCCACAAAATAATTCACACCGGAAATGAACTTTTTTATTCGTAGACATCTCCCTCTTAGCCGTGGAGAACAGTTCTTGACGCTTCTGGACATGGTTGGTGAAGTTCAAAGATGGTTAAACGTCTGTCAGCACGAATGTTTCCATTAATTTTTTTGATGATTTCATCATTGACAACGCATGGCCTTCATCATGAACATCACTTTTTCCCGTTTCAAATTCACGACACCATTTTGCCACGTTTTGCCAGTTCATAACATATACACCGTAAACAAAAATAAGTTGGCGATGAATTTCAGCAGAAGTTTCTCTTTCACGTGAAGAAATCGAATTACTGCGGGATTTTGAATCAACACGGCCATTTTAAGCACACACTGAAAGCACAACGTTGCCGTGACTGTGGCCGGCGAACTCAGCCGTGTCATGCGGTGCCTATCTCACACGGCAGCACTGCCATTTTCCTGTGTACGTGCTTTTCCCTAAAACTGCAGGGATTAGCAAGGGTTTCCCTGTCTTTTATAACTCTATTTTGGTTATCACGAGGAATAGTGTTAACGCGAATATTTGAACTTAATGAGAAGGTACGTGCATTTTTGACTGTTGAGGGGCATGAGTACGCGGATTTATTTGCAGATAATGAATGGGTATGTAAGTTGGCATACAAGGTAAGGACGAAAATAAACTAACTAATATGGATAAGGTACAAGGATTTGTAAATAAGCTGAATTTGTGGATACAGAGAATTACAGATGGGTCGTTTGAGATGTCCCCGACTGTATGGTCACTTGCTGACGGCAATAAAGTGGTGATGGACACAATTAAAGAACATTTAGAAATGCTGCAGCAGAAATTCAATAAGCATTTTGGAGAGAGTGTACAAGATTTCGAATGGGTTCGTGATCCATTCGTTGCGAATTCAGAACATCTTCCGATTAATATACAAGAGGAACTCGCAGAATTAAAAGCAGACAGAACATTGAAACTAAAATTTCTCGAAGTGTCGTTGGATACGTTTTGGTTGGCAATAAGGAGTGGATACCCGGCTATCTCCGAGATGCCAGTTAATGTGTTACTGCCATTTTCAACCACATATTTGTGTGAACTGGGCTTCTCGACGTTAACTGAAATTAAGACAGCAAAGAAGGAGCGGCCCAAATCCATCGATAAAGAAATAAGACTTCCGTTGTCAACGATTCCACCACGGATCAGTCGCTTGTGTGCAGCTACGCAGGAGCAAGTATCACACTGAAGTTATGAGTAAAATTACTGTATTTACTTTAATAGTAATGGAAGTGAATTTTCTACACTCTACAGTGAATTAAAGTTCCTTAATTGTTGATAAAAGCACGAGTCGATTTCTGTATAATGTTAATAAAATAATAATATTATAGTAATAAGTTGATCACGTTAAGTATTTATATGAATTGTCTGGTATCATGCGTTTTTGAGGGGAATCAAATTTTGGTGTGCCGTGTTGAGCCATGGATACTTCATGGTGTGCCGCGAGTAAAACGTTGCGGAGCACTGCTTTATAGTCGCAGAATAAGACATGAATTGTGTCATCGCTCGCTCGGACGGTGGGATCGTGGGTTCGAATTCCATTCAAGGCATGGATGTTTGGTGTGTGTATGCGTTTATTCTGTGTTTTGGTTGTCCTGCGTTTAGGTAGCGGCCTTGCGGCGGACTAATCACTCGTCCAAGGAGTCTTACCGTCTGCGAAAAATGATGACGGAACCTGGGCCCTGAATGCGCTGCCGAGCCAATGAAAATTAATATTCACAGAGTGTGAAAACTGTCAATAGGTTTCATCTCTGAAGTTGGTACAATTCTGCGGATAGAGTGTAATATAGTATAATAGTATAATATAGAATAAAGTAAATGTTCTATTAAATGTATTGAGTCTCCAAAGTGGTCTCTCACTTTCAGGCTTTCAGAATAACTTCTCTATTAATTTCTAATTTCCCGATCTGTGCTGCATGTCCCGCCAATCCCATTCTTCTCGATTTGACACATTCCGGCACTCTTCATGAGAAGCACAATTTATGAAGCTTTTCACTACGCAGTCGTCCCCCCCCACCTGTTCTCCATCTGCTAAAAGGTGAAATTGTCCCTATGCTTGATTAATTATACACTGACGCATGAAGATGTGAAGAGGAGTGGAGGTATAGCTCCACGCATTCATAATATCGGCACTAGATGCAAATGAGTGTCAGTTCCACGCTTCGGATATTACATCCCGGGGCAGTATAGGAGGCTGGATGGGCCCCAGAATTGTGAGAAGTAAAATATTATCACGAGTCCCGTGGGGCTCGAAATCATGAATGGCTGTGTTGGCAAGGGTCAGCAGCAATTTAACAGACAGACAAAGCCGGTCTGGGTGCTCTGAATATAAGAAAAATCTCTTATATTTTCCGACAATTTTGGCCCGATTTCCCTGCCGTTCAACCTGCAACCGGTCGCTAAACCGACTTAGCTATCCTGGCTAATTACTCTGTCAGGATTAAATGTTTTCTCCAGCACATTGCTCCCTGCGAAGCAGATTCCATGTTCTTCCCTTGCAGCACAAGACAATGTTTCACACCGTGACATAGCAACCAAGATATATTATGTCTCAAATGGATCCTTGCAGAAATAGACTCGTTGATTCATGAAAGAACTGTCCATTATTCTTTCCGACTTTCATCCTAGCTGCTACTGGTTTGAGGTGACACCTAGGCTGCTGAAATATTTCAGAGGTCTGATTCTGATGATGACGATAAGTTTTCGAAATGTGAATCCCAACTGTTTAGATTTTTCTTCGTATTGTGTTTGCCAGAATCACTTCAACAGAACGGAAGAACCATTCTACGAATGGCCTTGCTGCGATGTACCACCCTACACAAGTGGAGTAAGCGTCAGAGTCATGCAGGCCCAGCCTAGCGAGAAAGACAGATAGACGGCCATGTAGGTCAGTAAAGGAAAGTAGGTCAGTGCTGCTACGCGGCGGTGGATGAGCAAGTGTGAGAACAGGTAGCAAGGATGTCCAAAAGCAAACGACAATTTTAAGATTTGTGATGTCCCATCTCACCGAAAGCAGCACTTGACCAAAATAATTGGGAATAGTTCCTGGATGATCAACAGCAATATCAATCTTATCTGCCTATATGGGAATGTCGGGATATCTGCTTTCTAATCCTCTACTGATCATTCTAGCACCGCAATTCTTTATTGTAATTTCGGCTTGCGACCTTCTTTCGCGCTCATATTTTTCTCGGAATAGTCGACCCTGGATGAAGGCAATATGTTCTTCCGAAACGTCGGCTGACTTTCAACGGACTACACGGCGTTATATCCCAGACAACTGTACTCTTCATATTAGTTAGTGTTCTCGTATCTAAATGGTGTTGCCTAGTAATGAAAATCGTTTTGAAATAGTCAGAAATCAGCTTAGAGAAGAGTTGTCAGTAACTCGTAGCTATAAAAAATTGAGGGTACATTTAAAAGCAACAAGTGACAGGATTGCCCCAAAATTTGCAAAATAAAGATCTATGGTTGAATGATAGCAAAAGAAGAATTGATTGAGATCAGGTCAAGAGGGTGTGAGTAAAATTTCGTTAATGATTAGCTCGTTATACCAACTTCCTTCTTTCTGTAACAGAATTCTATCCATTTCTTCAGCTTTTCAAAAAGTGAGATTCGAAGCGTTTAAAAAAAGCGTCAGTAAGTACAATTAGCTCTTGCATCATATGTCCTTCATATGACGAGTCCATGCCAGTCGCGGTTGAGGTTAAAAGTGATTGAATCTGTTATGTTATTCATGTGTGGGTCCCAGGAAGCTTAATCATAATAGGCACTCCACCGAAAACATGTTGAAAATTCTACATTTGTGGAAAGAGGTCTACTCGCCCTCATTTAATGAACAGTTTAATTAAAACAACGAACGCAGTCTAGAATTTTTCTATAGATACGATATAAATGAAATGTGACGGGTCAACTAACTGCATGGGATCATCTCATCCCCGGCGGCTAGAACTTATTTAGCTAGTCAGGTCATCACAGTTATCACAGAACCCATGATCTAACATTGTTCTCACTTATTTCATTTCATTCCCTATTTCCACAAATTATTAGCCTAAGATTCATATTAATAATATCCTCTCATCTACGCTTAGGTCTTGTAAGCGGCCACATTCCTTCATGTTTTACAGCTATAAATACAATTGTGAAGAGGTAACAGTACAGTTGTCTCCATGCTTCATTAAGAACTATGCTGTGAAGATATGTGGGAGTGGAGGTATAGCTCCACTATTCTTGACCTCGGCAGTAGATGGAGGTGAGTGCTCGGCTTCACGCCCCTGCTGCTTTATTCTGGGGAAAAATCTCCGGTACCGTTGTATATGAGGTTGCGTGGGCCCCAGAGCCGATCTGGATCCCATGGAGAAGAGAAAATTCTGCCCTTGTTGGGAATCGAATCCCGGCCGTCCATCCCGTAGCTAGTCGTACCGAATGAACTATTCTGGCTGTCATTAAGAAAATACATGATGGTGATAACGTTATAATTATTGTGCGTTAATTGTATAATATATTTACTTCAGTTTTAAATACGTTCTGGGCACCCATACACATGCAAGTCATTTTATGAAGAGACGTAATTTTAATTATTGTTAAATGTAGCAAAGTTCCGGAACGCAACATTACATTCGACGAAAGCGTGCCGACTTTGGAAATCCCTTGGTTAGCCCCGTGAAATAATGGCTGAGCGAAAGAAACACATGCAGACAGACAAGGGAAAAAGGCGGAGCTGTTGCTGCTGGATCTGACTTCACTGCCGCACAAGAAGGGGGCGCTTCTGCCACACGACTTCATTCATTCAAGCTGTGTATAGCGGCCGACTTTCGTCAACGCCAGTCTACTCACATATCTAGATATCGTGAGGTAGTCAGATAGATAGCTGACTTGTTGCAGCTCCGGAAGTTTTCCGAGTTACCGATATTCTCCGTTTCCGGAACACTCTGCACGTGAAGAACTGAAGAAGTCTCTAGGCAAGAAAGCAGGAAGTAAGAGAGGCAAAGTTTATCATTACACACTGCTCACGGCGAAGTCATAACCGATTAAATAAAAAGTTAGAAAGAAGTTGTGTGCAGGAGTGTATATTACAGGGTAGGGAATACTCAGACATCCAGCTGAAAACCGGAAGAGGTGACACACGACGTCGACACGGACACCAAAACAGACTCAAGACACACGAAATGACTGTAAGTCAGCAACCAAATTACTTACTGCTACTAATATGTATATATGCCTAGTTTAGTATGGGTGTGAAACTTGTGTTATATGGCACGACGTTCAACATGAAGTGGCAGCTGGTCGATGCAGTCGTGTCGTCCCATATAAACAAATTTAGGTCTCTTAGAGTCTGTCTTAAAATTATTTGGGGATCGCCGGTAGCTGAGTGTTTCACCGGAGTGCTAAGAAAATTGCAGGTGACGAACTGGATGTGGGGTTTAGCGAAGTCCAATCGAAGTAAGAAAATATAACAAAGTCCAGTCTGGTAGAAGATAGGATAGATTTTTATTAAGCAAAGCGACGTACAGTCGAAGAGACCAGTTATTAACAAGAGCTCCTGACCCTCAGGAGAGGGTTTATATTCAAAGTAAACTAGGCGTTAGCTCAAAGAAATGTGCTTTGTACTCCCAATCCTTTGACCTGGTCATGATCCCTAAAATTAATACCCTTTATCTTCCTCTCAATTATTGAGTATTGCTCACTAACGCATTATTTACACAGCGTTAGTGTGAGGACCAGAATGAAACAAATTCAAAGCCTTATTTACACTTTTAAACTGGCGAAGGGTTGTCAGTTTTATAGCTGCGTGTGGCTTTACTTTGCAACCATACCCAGTACTACATAAAGTATTCTGTGGCATGTTTAAGAGTTCGTGGTTAATGCGCTGCCGTGACAGTGGGCATAAAATCAGAGTGCTCGCTGGCTTATGTATTTTGACAGCCTGAAATAACAGAGGGCTTGGTTCCTCTGACACATGGACTCCAATTTTAAGGCGAAGCGTAATACAGACTGGGGATATAGGAGAAAAGGGTGCTGAGGAGAATATCTGGATCGAAAAGAGATGAAGTGGTAGGGCCGAGAAGACTGCATAATGCGGAACTTCATTTTTTAAGGGCGGAAAAATTCAGGGAACAAGTCCTCCGGGAGGGACTTTAAGCCGTGGGTCCCGTGTCGTAGCTTTACGGCACGTAAAAGAACCTCATGTCTCAAGGAGGCCTCTGAGCGAAATTATAAAGGACATTTCCCGCCCAACAATAGACTGTAACGCCTCTGGTAGATGGGGGAAGCATCTAGATACTGCTGATCCAGTAGAGGCCGAACTCGCTGGCTGAGTCGGGACTGATGGCACGCACCAGTATCGGTAAGGTATAGAGACTGGTAGAATATCACAGGGGACGTACATTAGACCACTGGTCGCGGTGCATGGGGAAACCCACCCCTTCCAATAATAATAATAATAATAATAATAATAATAATAAGAGGCACTCTTCGCCAGATATAATTTGAATGTAGAAGACAATGAGAATGAGATGGGCAGGGCATGCAGCATATATGGGTTAGAATGATAATGCATACAGGGTTTTAGTGGGAAAGCTAGAAGGAAAGAGATCACTAGGAAGACCTAATCGCAGGTAGGAGGATAATATTAAAATGGATTTCAGAGAAATAAAATGGGTTAGTGTGGACTGGATATATCTGGCTCAGGATGTGGACCACTGGCTTCCGTAAGACACTGGGAAATTCTTGAGGATCTGAGCGACTAGCGGCTTCTCAAGAAGGACTCAGATACGTCGAGTTAGTTAATAAGTATGTATTTTAAATCAATTAGCGATATACTGTTGACTCTTGGATAATTACCTGGATATTAAGAAGTTACTGGATATTGTTGTTAATAGTCATACACTAATTCGCAGACACACTTTAAAGAATTATGTAGAGGTTCATAGAATCTGATGTGGCACTATAAATACATACGTATATCCAGTTATTGTATTTCTGGGCATTATCCATCATCCTAACACACAAAGTTTCGGAGACTGGATTCTGTTTCCGTTATCAGGTGGAACCTACAGAGTTCGGCCCATTCTATAGAGCTAGTCTCTGTCTCCAGAGACAAAATCCAGTCCTCAAAACATTGTGTGTTTTAAATAAAAACAGGATCAGGGATAGTGTCCAGAAACACAATAATTGTATTAATGTACAATCGTCACAAACATATATACGTATACCGTTCGGAAATTGTATGAATTGAAGAATGAACTGAAATGGGCGAACTAAGCAAGTTAGCTACTGGATACGATCATGATTTGCCTTCGATTCCTGGAAAGGACAAGTAGTTTTTCCTTCGCCACACCCTTAAGATTCAGAATGCCTCCAATGTACTGAGCAAGGCGGAATTTCTCTCAGAGCATAATGCTAACAACTCGAGAGAATTACTGTAGAGATTAAGTATACCTGGAGCCATACATCCATCCCCTACTCATCTGTCTACATAGGTAGTTGTTTATTTGAATAAAAGTAAAATTTATACCTTCCCGTGTGTAAATATAAGACTCTGAAGTCCAAGTGGAAGGTGCAGTTTTCCAAAATCGTCAAATCAAATATAATTGCTTTAAAAACATGTATCTTAATGTAACATGGAGCAGACAATGCACTAAACTTATATTTGGTATGTTCCATTTAGAATCTTGGATGTATTGCTGGTTATTCTAAGACGGAATCTGTACTTCCCTTCAGGCCAAGAAGGCAGGAAATAGGCCGCTCAGATCTGTCTCATATCATCCTCTCATAATAATGAAAGTTTATCAGATATTGTAGCAAATGCAACGCAGTTGACCAACCTGCGGAAAAGTAAAGGTCAGATGGTAGTCACGGAGCTGCATGAGATTGCGCACTGCGTTGTGGGCCAAGCTCCAGGCTTTGTTTTAAAATTGATTCTAGACTAAAATAAGTCTTCAGCTTTACGCTCTGTCTGCTTTACTCCAGATGAAAAAATACCATGACACCTGTTGATGTGAACTGTAAACCTTCTTGCCCAATGAACTTACAAATTGTTAAAAAGTTAGCAGATGCTTTCGAATGAAAAAGAGTATTCGATGAGACAAGTAAAAGGAAATTTCCCGGAATTGAGTCGGTCCCCCTAAAGCGTTGACTCCTGTTGAGGGTAGTTAGTGGAGATGATTTGCGAGCGTGTGTTGTGCCATGCAATGCGATTGACTGCCTACATTCTTTTCTTGAAATCTGGTGACCAACAAAGTAAATAAAAGCCAACAACCTTCAAGAGTTTCTAAAACGTCAAATACAGTAAAACTTGGTTATAGCAACATCGGTTTCTGCGACACCTTGTCTATTGCGTCAAATATTCAATGGTACGAACTAATTCCTCATAAAGCAACTGTTTTTATACCTTGCTTAGTACGACATGCACAAATGCATCAACCTCGTATGTAACGTCATTTTCATTCCTGAATTTCTCTGATATCGTGGGAAAGTTCGATGTGTCTGCCCACCCTCACTTTCTCTACTTGCTGACGTGACTGTCCTGGAAGAATACGACCGCGGGCTGCAAGAGGAGCGTGGGTTTTATGCGAAAACAAGGGTGTGGGGTGGGACTGCGTGAATAGTGCAAGAGGACGCGGCAGGTTGTTAACTGCATTCCTTTCCTAGAATCTCGTCTAACAGGACCTCACATTGTCTACTTACCCTATAGTGTTCCTGCCTAAACCCAGAGAAGTGCACTAGCGAAAACTTGGCAATGAAAAGGAAAGTTTTAAGCATTGAAGAGAAAGTTAAAGTGATTCGTGAAATAGAAAATGGAAGGAAAAAAGCTGATGTATGCCGCGAATTTGGTTTGGTGAATTCTACAGTACAAACGATGTGGAGAATCCATATTAATTCCACGTTAATATTACGTTAGTCTGTACTTAACTACGTATTTCACTAAAAAATGCAACATTTTAACTCGGTTTTGGTAGATTTTTACGTGACTAACATAAGGCTACTGTGGAAGTGCCCATTTCGGTTACAACGACATTCTTTTATAACGACACTATTTTTAGGTCCCTTTGATGACGTTATAACCAAGTTCTACTGTATTTTCTACTTTTAAAGCAAATGAAGGCAATTTCACTTCTGTAAGAAATCTGATAACCAAACCCTATGCTTTCTCTTCGGTTTCTCTTCTTTTCAGCAGCAAATACCCATCTGAAGTTGCGAGACTTGCATTTACTATTCAGTTACATTTGCTTACAAACATACAGCACAGCAAGAGTCCGTCTCGCTCTTCGCGAGATATTTGCTAGGAAATGTTAGTAAATAGACGCACAGCTTAAGGAAAACTTAACAGATTTACGTCCACTTACAGATTAAAATCTCAAAAGATTCTATAGCGTAGGAGGCGAGGTAGCTCAGTCGGTATAGGAATGTGCGAAGGGCTGGGCTCCTGGGATTCGATTCCCGTCAGGGTTAAGTGAATTTTCTCTTCTGTACAGGGTCCAGACAGCCCTGAGGCACATTCAGCCTCCTATTCAATGGTTACCAGGGGCCTTTTCTCCTGGGATAAAGCAGCCGGGGCATGAAACTGACCACTCACTTCCATCTAGTGCCGAAGTCAGTAACGGTGTAGCTATACCTCTACTCCTCCATACGGATTGGAACACCGTATAGTTTGGAGACAGCCTGACGTTTCGGAGGAAGATTAAGCCAAGCAATGCACCAGCGGAAGTGCGTGCGATGTATGATACACGGGAGTTACGCGAGGGAAGACCGCACTGCGCATGCTCACCGCCCTGAGAACCTCATATTCTCTAATAAAGTGGAACAGAATACGTAGAACAACCAGGAATCATGGCGCAGGGCAGGGATTTAATACGGTAATAAACTTTTCATAGAAGGTGAGGGAAATTCTTGATTATCCAAGCGACTACCAGTTGCTGAAGAAGGGCTCTACTCCATGATGTTAGCTAAATGAAATAACATCTAAATAAAGTAAGAAAATGCAGGTATGCCAAACGAGTAGCCATATTGATCACGCAACATTCTTCCTTTGAGAAAGCTGCAATCTTTCGAGATGTGTCCACGTCTCTACAGACAATCGATTCACACAGGAATCGATTACAGATAAACTTCCGTAAGTGTTAGGGAGTGGCATACGTACGTGTATATCTGGGACTATGAGCTGCAAGGCAAC